AGGTCAACAGAGAAAGAAGAAAGTGCCTGCCAGCCAGTGCCTTTAGTCTCCATGTAGCAGGATGTGTGCTTTGAAGGTAAAAACTGCGTGAACCCTTTTCTCCCCGAATGTGGAAAGAGGAAGGGTTTTGTTCCAAGTCACAGAGGGAGTGAATGTTTTACGAGGCCAGGATGAGCGCTCCTGAGCTCGGTGACGCATTCCTGGCTCTGGGACCTCCACTTCTCCTGTGGGCCAAACTTCTCTCCCTCAAAAATGAGCTCAGATCATTGTACATCGGCGCAGTCAAAACATGCCACATTTGATTTGTTTCTGCCCGCGATGCTGCTATTCCCTGCCCCACAGTTGCTTTTAATTTAGCAATACAAGTATATATAGATACCGGGCTTGGCTTCAGCGCCTGCATAGTTACTAATGAGGAAATATACTTAATGTCCTCATTAGTTGGTCATTCCAAGTGTTTTTCAGCACGCCAGGATGTTTTCTGGTAATCGGTGCCACTTAGTGCAGTAACAGACTGCAACTACGAGAACTATTGCTCAAATCAAACCAGACACCAGCAAATGTCACTTAAATGCTAATGAGATAGCCTTAAGACCCGACATGGCCAGCGCATGGTAGACTTACAGAGACCGAAGGCTGCAAATACTGGTTTCAAGAAGTTTGGGAAAAATGTTTCCCAGCCAATTCACTGGGTGGCATCAGCCAGCTCCCACCATGACGGCCGTGAGTTTGAATGGGGAAGAGATTAGACTAAGAGCACTGCTGTGATCCCTTCTAGTCCCCTTATTCCCAGCTCTCCCGCCATTACAGCCATTACAGCTGCTGCCTGAGGTTCCATTGTGAGAATGAACCAGCATCTCCCTGGGTGCAGCACCCAGACTGCCTCAACCACAAAGAATGGCAGTGTTTGTTTTAACATGCAGATTCCCCTGGGTGGCATCCAGACCTACTGATTGCAGACTTGAAAGCAGGAGGCCAGAAATAATCTTTATTTTAACAATAGCCTCTGATGATTCTTTGGCATCGTAAGGTTTGAGAGACACCAGTGTAGTTTGATGATAACAATTCAACTTTACTTTGAATGCCCCAATTTTTCTAAGGGATGAGAAAGGATGAGCTATAAAATTTCCAGGGAACACTAATTCAGTTAACAAATATGTAGTGCAGGGGCACGAGTCTAGTGGATCTAACAAAGCGACGCCCTCTTGGAGCTTACCTGCCAGTAAAAGAAAAAGAAGGAACTGGAACCATCATCTGCAGACACACCATTAGTGGCAGGAGAGATGCTTTTTTTTTCTAATAGGGGGCCACAGACAGATCAAAAACAAAGAAAGTTGGGAGAAATATATTCATCGCCAATCTTTTTCATTGCCAATTTTTAAAACGACACTTTAAATTTATTTTGTTTATCGGCATATGTATGTGTGGTGTGTATGTACATTTGGGTGCATGTGTGGGGTGACCATGCGCGTGATCTGTGGAGTCCAAAGGTTGATGTCTGGTGTCTTCCTCCACCACTCTCCACCATGTGTTTTGAGGCAGGGTCTCTCACGACCCTGGAGCTAGCTCACCTAGCTAGCCAGCTTGCGTCGGGGATCTCTTGTCACCTTCGCCTTCAGCAGGTTAGGGTTGTGAGTGGGCCATCGTGTCCAGCAGAGTTTTGTGAAAGTCCTTTGAGCTTGCATGGCGAGTGCTTTGTGAACGCCACCATGTCTCCAGTCCTAACGTGGCCCTCTTTAAAGCACAAAAACATGGCCATGTTTGACTCATATAATGATCACATCTGTCAGCTGCAGGATATAAAGACAGAGAGAAGAAGCCATGCTGGAGGGTTGGGGAGGAATTTCATTTCCTTCGGGCATTTGACATGTTTATTGAGGGCTGAAAGTGTGGTACATATTCAGCTCCGTTCTGCGATTAAAGTATCACGTGGCTAATTTTTCAGAGTGCTTTTCTCCAGTTGAATAACTTAGAGGCCTTGGCCCACTGCTGAAACCTGATCCCCACAGTTGCTGCTGAACGTAGTGTGCAGGCTGTTTGGGTTAAAACCCGTATCTATTTGCTGTTGTGTGCAGCAAACAATTCGCCTTCTGTGGCCTTTGTAGAAATCTCCATTCTGCCATGGCTGTCAGTGAGGGGGCCTCCACATCTATGACTAGAACTAACCCATATTCTGATGGATCAAGGGTCCTGGTAGGCTGGAATCAGACATTAATGGAAGCAGAGAAAAGAGCTCATTAAAACAAATCTTTCTGTATTTGGTCTATGTTTGAGTGGAATAATCAATGACCAAATACCTTAAGGTTTTCTTTGGTGAACCTAAACCTACCATGCCCAGAGTCGTAGGGACTGTAAGGCATAGATGGGATCCAGCTCTCCCACTTCCAGATTTAAATGGCTAGGCCAGGCAGCATATCTGGAATCTTTGGTCTGTTATGATCCTTCTCTCCCCATTAGTTGGGTGCTAATTTTGGTTCCAGAATTCTGGAACGTGGACAAAAATGATTTCAGACGAACCCCCAAAGGGTTTGTAGTGAGGCAAACTGGTCCTGCTGGGTTTTTATTCTTTCCTTGCTGAACTCTGTCAAGGGAAAGAGAGCAGTCCAAGCAGGTAGGGACTGCTCTTACCAGTGCAGGAGGCATGAGCTGTGAGCCCAGCAGGGCTTGGGCCTGCAGAGAACTCTGGAGAGAACTGCAAGCTCTGGTGGGTTCTGAGCAAATACTGGAAGCAGAGCTATTGTTGGTTCATAGCCCTGGTTTGGGGAAAGTCAAGGCAGCAAGCTGAGCTGAGGCTCCTGTCCCTGGGGGAGTTTGCCTACCTCTTTCTCCTGGACTTGTCCCCGTGCTCCCGGTAGCTGGGGCTTCATAAAATCCCAGGCAAACTGTGGGATTGTTAGGACAACAGAGGCATGGCTCTGAACTAGACCTGATGTTGCAATATCTGCTTAGTACAATACAGTCCCCACTCAATGGATGGAAAGGGGAGGGACGCAACACAGTCGGAACTCTATCGGTAACCTCACTGTCACCTGCTATTTAGCTCGCTCTGCCTCTCAGACCCTTCCCATAGAAGCCATCACAGCAGAGTTTTGAAGATGTTACTGTCCCCACTCCATGGAGGAGAAAACTGGGCCTCACTATAACATTTCACAAATGAGGGGCCCAAATAAAATGAGGGTTAAGTTCTGTGGACTCAGCGTCTGATGTCTGTACTTTTATGTCTTTCTGCTTCTGTGGGAAAACAGAAAAAAAAAAACAGACACACTTTCTTGTACTAATAAGAAATGAAGTCAGTGGGGATGCAGCTCGGTGACAGAGCACTTACCTAACATGCACAAGGCTGTGAGTTTGATCCTGGGCATCAAGCCTTTTCGGAAGGCTTCAAGGGTGCGGAGGATTGAACATCAGAGCCTTAGTCGTTCCATGTAAGTAGTGAGCTGCATCTCCAGCTAACAGCGGACATGCGAACAGTCAGCCTGTGGTCCCGGCACTCAGGAGGCAAAGACAGGAGGATTGCCGCAAGTCTGAGGCCAGCCTGGTCTATGTAGTGAGTTCCAGGCCAGCCGTGGCCCCATAGTAAGACCCTGTCTCAAAATATAAAAACCAAAGTCAAGAGGCACAGAACATAAAATCCCAGGCACTTAAACCCTGGCTTACCATCATCAATTATGTAACCTGGGAACATTTCATAGCTTCCCTGAGCCTCAGTCCTTATTAAAAAAATCAAAAACCTGCCTAGTGAGGCTCCAGTGGTTGGGGCTGCAAAGCTGCCCTTCCCAGTGGACGTGGAGAAGGCAGGGATGCCAGTGCTCACACCACATCTCTGTGCTGCCGTCCTCCTTTGATCTTTTCTGTGCCGCGTAGGTCATCCTGCCTGACGCAGAAAAGGTTTCTGTCTCCACTGAGTCAGGCAAGCCTGCGCCTTTACCGGAGGAACCAAAAGCTTGGGAGAAACCTCCTCCCTCCCCCCCCCCCCCCCCCGTCATCTTCCTCCTCCTCCCCCTTCTTTTTTTGTTGTCTTTCTCCTCTGTCTCCCTCTTCTTCCCCGCCTGCCTTCTGCTCCCAGGCTTCTAGGTCTGTGCTATCTAGTGTACCTCTCCGCGATGATGATCATGTGCTGCACCCACTTGGCTTTTAAGCGCCTGAAATATGGCTTTAAAAAACCCTGAACTTTCGAGTTTATCTAATTTTGATTTATGTAAGCAGCCATAATCCCCAAGTCTGGTGGCATATAGCTCTCTGGGCTCTGCCAAAGAGGAACCCCCAACCCAACACACACACTTCCAGATTTTATCTCATAGGAATCCATCAACAGCAAGCAAAAACCAATCATCTTTTCTCTGATTGGCTAACTGTGCTATTTCCACACTTCCGTGTACATTAAAACCATCAGCTTTGATAAGAAGCTTTGATCAGAAGCAGTCTGTGAGACCGACCCCCATCCTGGGGTTGCCATTTCTAGCACATGACCAGGTGTTGCTGACACTACTGGTGCAGAGACTACACTCGGACAATCTCTGGCTTCTTACCGGGAACATCTTTTTGGGAGACCACAGTGCTACAGCAGGACCCACGGAACCAGAAGGCCTTCTCAGACCCACAACCCTAGGGCAACGGTTTCCATGTGGACAGTGGTTTCCCCCGTGGGTTGCTCTGTGGTGCTCTCAAAGTTCCCAGTGGCCAGACCTCATTCCAGACCACTTAAACGGGCCTCTCTGGAGACAGGGCTGAGACATATAAAGCTATATAAAGCTCCTCAGGTGACGTCAACAAGCCCCTGCACTGATGGGACTTGAAGGGACTTCCATATATCAGATAATAACAATAAATTCACTTTATTTTATGTCCCAGGGCCATTGGAGGATCAGATGCGGTCATGAATGTTAATGGGTCTTATAAAGGGGGAAGGATTTAGGCATTGACATCTGGGCAAAGCCAGTCTCAAAAGATGGGGCCGTCCCCATGCAATCAGGCTAACGCTCTCTGTGCTTTCCTTCCAGTACTGTCCCACCGACCAGGCCACCGCAGGCACAGACGCAGAGCACGTGCAGCAGTTCTACAACCTCCTGACGGCCTCTATAGACGTGTCCAGGAGCTGGGCAGAAAAGATCCCGGGCTTCACTGATCTCCCCAAAGAAGATCAGACGCTACTTATAGAGTCAGCCTTTCTGGAGCTGTTTGTTCTTAGACTTTCCATTAGGTCTGTGTTACCATTTTATCTTCCCTCAGCCTTCTCATTTGTAGCATTAAGCTACAAATTTGTAGCAGTGGGGAGTTTGTTGAAGAAGTGGAGGTGAAATGTATTCAAGCATTGAAACGCTGAGCAGTGGGGAATAGAAAGAATGGTGAGCGGTATCCGGGACCCTGGGTTCCAGTCTGACTGAGGTCTAAAGGGAATAGACACCACGTGAGGCTCGGAGCACAGTGTTGCCTCGCTAGGAATCCAGATCTTTTCTATGCAAAATAGAGGATGGATCTGGTGGTTTCTCGAGTCTGTGGCTCTGAGACTGTTCTCGGGGTGCAGATGGTGTTTGTGCAAATGCTGGGTTTGCCTGATGAGTTTCTATTTCACAAGTAATGGTTGCAACATCCCTCAAGGGCCTCTGAAGGTTCCACAGCTGAGCTCTTGGGTCAAAAGATTTTGTTCACTCTGGTGTTCAGTGGCAGCAAGCAGGAGGAGAACGTGGATTCTGTCTGTCTGTCTGTCTTTCTTTCTTTCTATCTATCTATCATTTATCTATTTACTTATAGATATATAGGTCCCGCAACAAACAGGAGGAGGACATGAACTCTATCTATCTTTCTATCTATCTATCTATCTATCTATCTATCTATCTATCTATCTATAATCATTTATTTACTTACAGATAAATAGGTCCACTAGGTAACTTAGCCTGATCTTAGACTCACAGCTGACCTTGAGTTTGGAATCTTCTTTGCTCTAACTTCCAGAGTGCTGGGACCCAAGCAGGCATTGCCTTGACCAGTAGGAAGTGATTTTTCAAATAGCTTGAACTTCAGACCTAAGCTCCTCCCACACATGTCCTTTTTAACTATATATATTACTACTATTATTAGTTTTATTCACCCAGGGCATATTTAATTCCATCTTCCTTGCTTTGTTTCAACTGTGTATTTCAAAGACAGTACCTGCATTTTACCAGATGTTATAAGAAAATCCATCATCCCCGCCCCCCCTCTGTTCTCTACCGCATGGTCCCATTTCATGCTGACACCAGAAACTCCTGCTTAAAATACAGCCTCTGCACCTTGAGGTGGTAATAGGCTATAGAATAATACTGAAGTCTGCATTTTAACTCCCACCCTCTTGATTCTGAAACCAGTAGTTGGAAGCGCATGCTCAGACTCTGAGGTGGAAGCCTCCTGTCCGTGTGCCCCCTGTGTGGAGGGCTCCGGGGGGAGATGGGATGGAGTTGTGGCTAGAGGGCCAGGCTTTAGCTTAACTTCAGCCAATCCCATGCCTATGAGAGCCGGTAGAGATGTGTCTGTCATCTTAGGCATGCAGCAAAGGATTACACAGAAGATAAGCTCCACGCAGGTGGACGCCGTACTTCACCAAGCTCTCTGCAGTGCCTGTCTCCAGGAACAGCACATCCTTGGTGCTCAGTAAAAACCTGCGGAGTGAAGGAATGAATAGGGCTATTCATCCAGAAGCCCAGTTGGAAAGACATTGGCTGTGAACGTAATCGACTTAGAGAGAGAAATATGGAGCAAGATATTTTGAAATTAAGGAAAATCCAAGATTACACTAAGGGTCCCACAGAATCGAGAATTAGTTACACCCAATACCCCCTGAATCCTCCTGTGTGCTAGGCACTGAACGTGGGCTTTAAAAAAAAAAGAATAAAAGAAAACCCTTCATTTTATTAATTCCCTCTGCAACCTTAGTAAATTATGATTAAATTCCTGTCTCATAGATAAGAGAAAGGAAGTCCATGGAGATGAAAGGGATGCCCAAGGTTACCCTGTGCAAGTAGAGGTTCCAGGGCACCTTTTTGTAAGAGAGAAAGGGGACAGTGACAGACACAGTGTAAACCATTGGCAAAGGTAGAAATAGCCCTCTGCAGCCCCCTTATTTAAGCTCAAGGAGGTGCTGTGTTGTGCCGCTTTTGACTCTGTGATTGGCACTTGGAGAAACTTGCTGCTTTGAATTTGGATAATGGGATTGTAGTGTCTAGCCTCGGGCCTCATCAGCTGCTGGCATTTAAGGAAATAGGGGGACAGCTTTGACTCCGGAGCCTCAAAGGGAAGCCTTCTGTTCACTGCAGAGAGAGGCCCCTTATGACTTTTCTTGAGGAAACCTCATAACAAAGGTCTATTCACCCCAGACAGAGACCAACGATACGGCCAAAGAAGTGCTTTTATCCACGTTCTAGATGAAACCAGTATGTTTACTGGGTTAACTAACAGGAGCATATATGAGGGTTTGGATACAGGAATATGGGTGCCCCCCCAAAGGTGTATCACCAGAAAGTCACATCTAGCATGGATAATGACCTCACAAAGGTTGTATGGATGGACACCCGTCCCCTCCGGTCAGTTTTGTGCCTTCTATGCACTTCAGCAGCTCCCTTGACTGCATGTGACGGTATTAACCACTTCTGAGTGTAGGAAGGAGTCAGTGGCTGTAATCTCAGGTGAGGGTCTCATGACTCTCTCCTGACTCCTGCGAGGGGACCCTAACGGGCCTGACATTGTGAGGGACTCCTGTGACCCCCCCCCCACCAAGCATAACTTACTTTCATTGCTACTTCATAACTGTAATTTCGCTACTACTATGAATTGTAATGTGAATGTCTGATATGCAGACAGTCTTTGGTGACCCCGTGAAAACAGTCGGTCGACCCTGCCAAAGGGGTTGCAACCTACAGGTTGGGAACCACTGCCCTAGTCAGTCTCTGAGGGCTAGCTTCTCCACATTCCATCCCATACAAGCCAGCAGCTGATTCCAGCACTAGACAGCAGGTGTGTCAGCCCATACTCCCTGAGGACATTATCTCGGGCAGACGGGCAGGTTGTTCAGTCCCAGGAGCACGCCTTTGTTGGTGGCGGTCCTGCACACAGTTCCCAGTGCTGCCCCTGGCTGTGCATTATGTTGCGATGTTGCTGTGTTAGCCAGATGGAGAAGACCTGTCTAATGCCTCTCCCTCCTCTGCCCACCCCCAGGTCAAACGCTGCTGAAGATAAGTTTGTGTTCTGCAGTGGACTTGTCCTGCATCGACTTCAGTGCCTTCGTGGATTTGGGGAGTGGCTCGACTCCATTAAAGACTTTTCTTTAAGTTTGCAGAGCCTGAACCTTGACATCCAAGCCTTAGCCTGCCTGTCAGCACTGAGCATGATCACAGGTGAGTGCCAGCTTCCCTAAGTCGGCCACCCTGCCCCCCCTTTTCTCCTGTCTGGGTCCAGGTGACTTCTGGGCTTCTCACAGCTAACTAGGAGAATGACTGCCACTTTTCTGAAGTCCACCAAGCTTTGTCTAGTTTTAATGAAGGAAGCACGCATCCCCAACATACTCATACGAGCTTGCAGGAGAGAGGGCTGGTGCCATTGAGTTATCATCCAAACCCGGGATGCGCCAGCAGCTGACCCAGCTACTTCAAGGCTGTCTTTACTTCAGAGTTTCCAGAAAGATAATCTTAATCACCCTGCCACTCTTGCCTAGAGACCTAAAGTAAAGCAGAGACCTGAAGGCATGTGGAAGACAGCTTCACTTACTAACCCCGATTGGGAGAGAATTGAGGGGAAAAAATGTGTTATTTGTCAGAAATGAAAATGACTTAGCTCTACAGTTTTTTTTAAAACGTTCAGAAACAGAAGTGTAAACTTAATTCAGTTTCTGGGGCCAAGGAGTTAGCTCCAGTGGTGTCTTGCAAGCACAAAGGCCTGAGTTCAATTCCCAAACCCATATAAAAAGCTGGATTTGGGGGCATGTGCTCATGATGCCAGCACTGAGGAGGTAGAGACAGGAGGATCCCTTAGGGATCACTGGCCAGCCAGTCTTGACTAATCGGTGAGCTCTAGGCCAATGAGAAACTCTATCTCAAGGAGGGTTGGTGGTATTCCTAAAGAAGATATCCAAGGATGTCCTCTGACCTACACACACACCATGAAATACACACATGTTAAAACAAAATGTTTAGGGCGTCCTCTGACCTACACACACACCATGAAATACACACACAGTAAAAGCAAAATGTTTAGGATGTGCACTAACCCACACACACACCATGAAATACACACACAGTAAAACAAAATGTTTAGCCAGGCAGTGGTGACACACGCCTTTATTCCCAGCACTCAGGAGGCAGAGGCTGGCAGATCTCTGTGAGTTCGAGGCCAGCCTGGTCTGTAGAGCGAGTTCCAGGACAGCCAGAGCTGCACAGGGAAACCCTGTCTCAAAAAGAAAAGTTCAGCTTCTATATTTCTCTACTCTCCTGATCCTTGTCCCATCACCCTGTGCTCTGGAGGTACTGTTCTGGCTCCCCTTCATCCCTCATCCTTGAAGTTTCTTGTTAGGTTGCATTTTAATCATTGTTACAGAGGGCAGGGCGGGAGACAGTGATGGGATCTGAAGCTCATCTCCATCTTTTGGGTCAAACCCAAGTCCAGCTAGCTGATTGGCTGAGGTTCCAGTTCAGACTGGATATGCTCTTGACTAGAGAAGCATTTCCCAGCTAGGTGGGTGGTACTGACTGTGTTCTCAGCAAGCCAGCCCCTCCTTTCTGATGCAGCTTTGCCTTGCCTAATCCCGTGGTTCTCAACCTGTGGGTCACGACCCCTGGGGGGCTCTGTTGAATGACCCTGTTTCAAGGGTTGCCTAAGACCATGTGCATGTCAGATATTTGCATTATGATTCATAACAGTTGCAAAATTGCAGTTATGGGGTAGCAATAAAAATATTATGATTAGGGGTCACCACAACTTGAACTGTATTAAGGGGTCACAAAAGGTTGAGAACCTAAGCACTGTTTATACACATTTGTGTGTCTCTAGAGGCCAGGTTGGTCATGTGCCTGACTTCGTCCTCCTGGTCTGATTCAGCGTAAGAAGCTCAGCTGTTAACAGGGCCATTATAGTCTTCCGAGACTATGAAATAAGAGCAAAGACAGAGGGCGTGGATTCCACTGATGGGGCTTTCTGATGTCATAGCAGAGCAGAGAGAGAGAGAGAGAGAGAGAGAGACAGAGACAGAGACAGAGAGACAGAGAGAGACAGAGAGAGAGAGACAGAGAGAGAAGGAGGGAGGGAGGGAGGGAGGGAGGGAGGGAGGGAGGGAGGGAGGGAGGGAGGGAGGGAGGGAGGGAGGGAGGGAGGGAGGGAAGGAAGGTGCCTAAGACCCAAGGACTTTGCTCCCAACACTATTGAGACTAGCCTCAAGATCACCTCATCCTCTAGGTCTTCAGCTCCATTTCAGACCCCTTCCGCATTTCTGGGGCAGTTAGACTCAGTTAGACTTCCAAAACTTCTGGAAAGTATAGAATTGAGTTCATTTACAAAAGAAATGGGAGTTGAATAGATGTTGACTGGTCTAGGTAGGGGTTGTCTCACATGTCACTGGGTTTTCAAGGATGATGGCACACGTCCCTGGAGGAGACAGCATGTGTAAATTAATCCATAGCATGCAGACTAAGTGTCAGGAGACCACAGGGGAGGAAGCAGAAAGTGTTTCCAGACTACTTCGGGGAGGAATAATAATTATAGGCATAAACGAAAATTTCCTGAAGCTATTGTGAGTATGACTGACCTAAGCTTCATAAAAGAAAGAGTGATGGGAGAAGCCTAGACTGACAAGAGGAGTGTTGTAGGATCCTGAGCCCTTCCTCAGCCTTCCACACCTAGCTAAGCAGGTGGGATCTGTCCTGAGATCACTGGAGAGCCTCAGAAAGTTTTGCACATAGGAACAAGATGGACAGACTTGCGTTCTAGAATGATCTACAATGGTTAGGGAGGAGAAGAGGAGGAAGTTGCACAGTGTCAGGACTGCAGCTCCCAGGGAGGGCCTGGCCATGAGGCCAAGTTCTTGTTCTGTTTTACTCTGTGGAAGTTAATGGACACAAGGGTGCCAGGTGTTCCCAACGTAAAGTCTACAGAGTCCAGAGCAGGAATTGAGGAAGATGGTACTAGTCTCTGCATCCCTTTGAGCTGTGTTGAGATCAGAGCTGACCAGCCCACTGCCCACCCGGGTAGACATTTGCTGGAGGAAGAGGCCGTTTGACCTGGCAGCAAACGCATGGGTTCTAGCGATTCTTTTATTAACCTGGACTCTGGTGTTTCATCAGCAAGGGCTACTGAGTAACGCACGTCTCTTCTCTGTGTCTCTGTTTCTTCAGCCACACAATAGAAATAATAACATCCATTCCATGGGGTGGCAGTGTAGGTTACAAAAACCTAGGTTGATGATGTAGTCAAACTGGATTCATGGCAGACAGTAGATCTACTTATGTTCCTCCTTGGAGTGGTGGTAACAGAGGTTCCCTCCAGTTGGGCTCATGCGTGTCTTTCTCTTTGGAAACCTTGGCTAGTACAAAATGACACTCATTGTCATGAAGAGAAGTTGGTGGCTTTATAACGTAGCATGAGTTGGGCCTGATGAGCCACACCTATGATTCCAGCGCTCAGGAGACTAAAACAAGAAGCTCATGAATTCAAGGCTAGTTTGTCCTACATGGTGAGTTCCAGACCAGCCTGTCTCAAATAAAACAAAGCAGGGCAGGATAGCACGTTTGGTGACTATTTCCTAAGACACTTGAGAGACCCGAAGGAGGATAGTGATTACAAAGCAGTTATGCTAGACCAGCAACAGGCTGAGTGGTTTGTCTGTGGGTCTTTCCCACAGGGCAGCGCCGGCCTTCACTCCTGCCCACCTTTACAGAGCAAGCTGTCAGAGATGCCGCCCGTGTTACCCAAACCGAATTAGCCCTCTGATCACAAGGGTTTGGAGTCTGGGAAGGGTTTGGGACACATGAAAGCACTGGACAATAGAGGAAGGAAAATGCCTAGAAAGCAATACCCACGGCTTCGAGTATCCACTAATATTTGAGTGCGCATTCCCAAGAGCCTTGGTGTCTCGGGGAGCCTCGTAATCAGAAAGAGAGGCGTGGAGCATCAGATGAGCCCTAGGAATGGGGAGGTCCACCCAAAGACCGTTCTGAAACCACAGAGAACTTGTGAAAGGGGAAAGACCTTAGACGGTCAGTCAGTCTTGCTCCCAGAAGACAGCTTCAGGGGTTGGGTAGACTGCCCCAGCCTGCATGTCTCCCCTTAATTTATCTCTCTTCTTCCTCCCCTTCTCTGTAGTCCCCCTCATAAAATACTAAGTGGTGAGATGGGACAGGAGTTTCTTTCTGATCATTCTCCTTTCCCGCAGTAACAGGGAGTTCCCTACAGTGGTGGTTTTCATGTGTTTTCTGGGTCCCCAGCTCATCTACCCTAAACATCGCCTCTTGCCAACGCCAAATCCCTGGAGCGATGGCAAGGCTTCGCTTCTTTGTCACTGGTGGAGTAAAAGCATGTTGCTTCTGCTTGCAATCCTCCAAACATAAAGCTAGTGTGGCATTATTATTTGTATTAATATCTAGGTATTGGGGCCTCACCGTGTCAGGATGTCACTGTGTGGGGGAAAAAGATAGCATCGCCCTGCTATCAGGAAGTTTGTAGTATACCAAGATATAAAATAATGAGTCTATGCATGGGGATTAGTGTTTAGGTTCTTTTGGTTTGGTTTGGTTTGGTTTTTGGTGTTTTGAAACAGCGTCTCACTATGTAGCCCTGGCTGCCCTGGAACTCACTCTGCAGACCAGGCCGGCCTTGAACTCACAAAGATCTGCCTGCCTCTACTTCCTGAGGGCTGGGATGAAAGGCTGCCCCACCCACACTTGGCAGTGTGTAGGTTCTTAAAGGGACAGAGTGCAGAGTTAATCTGGGTAATTGCTGCGTTTGAGGGAGTTGAGAACACTGGTGGTTCTGTTCATGAATGACTTCCCATAGCAGTAGCATCTAGACATAAAGGACATTACAAATCAGGGGAACCAGAGGCCTAGGGCATGACCATGAACCACCCCAGCACAGCTGTGGGGAAATCAGGGGTGTCCAGATTATTTTCTTCGTGTATTTGATCACATGCATGACCTGAACAGAAAGATGAGAACATTTCAGAGAGTCCAGACTATGATTCCAAATGACTGTGTGTTTTGGAGCAAGCAGAAAGGTAAAGGCAGGAGCCCACTCTGAGAGACAGTTTCACTGCCTCTGAAGGCACCAGCTTGAGTTCACTCTCTGAGCTCTGGGAAAGCGTAAAGGATTTTCAGGGAAACAACTGATTTGTTGAGATATTTACCTTGTGGCT